TAAAAAAACGCAAAGCTGGCAGATAAAATCAAGCGAACGGAACCGTGACCCAACCCCACCAAAAAAAAAATTTAAAAAATCGCTCTGGATCCCCCCGGCCTCTTCTCCCTTTCATTTTTTGGCAGAAGTTTTGCGATTTTGGGGAGGAGGAGGAGGAAGCAGAACCTTCCTTTCCCATCCCCCAGGCTGAATTTTGGAAGATTTTTTCATTTTTTGGACCCGCCCCGCGTTCTACGAACCTGCGGGAGATCCCGGCACCGAGGATGATGATGATGATGATGATGATGATGATGAGGGCGGGGATGAAGAGCACGGAACCGGGACCGTTTTTTTCCCCGATTTCTTCTCCTTCATCCACGGAAATTCCGCTGCTGAGAGCCCGGGCCGCGCCTGAGCCGCGATTTGAGCTCGGATTAAACCATGAGATGTTTTTTTTTGCCTCCTCTCTCCCTCCCKCCCGCCGCAACAAGGATTTAAGCTCGGCTCAAAAGGAGAAGCAGGAATTAACGTCGAGTCTTTGATTGATGAAGTTTGAAACGTCTCCAGGACAGCGGGGAGAGACGTCAGGCACTCAGCGAGAGAAGGCTGGCTGTTTATAAACCCGATCTCCCTCTCAAATTCCAAATTCATGGCTTTTCCAAAGCCCGGCTTTACAAAGCGGGAGGGAGGGAAGGGGGAGGAGGAGGAGGAGGGGGAGAGGGAGAGGAATTGGAGGGTTTGGGGTGTTTGAGGAGGGTCCCGGGGATTTTTTTTTAATTGTTCTGTCGTTGATAAAGCGGGAGGAGGGGGGACCCGGCCGGGTTAAACTCGGGACTGGGGAGAAATCGCAGCCAATTCCTGGTCACGTGGGMGGCCCCGAGCCAATGGCCGGGTGGGAAAAGGAAAAGGGGGATTTTATTTAATTGATTTAAAAATAAATAAATTAAAAAATAAAAAAAAAAGAGAAAAGATGGGTGGGGGATGGGTAAAAAAGGAGAGAGAGGAATCCCGGGAAAGGCACGGAGGCCGCGCCCTGGGGTGACCGACCCTGATTGGGCAGGGAGTGCTGTCTGTCTGTCCGTCTGTCCTGCTGTCTGTCTGTCTGTCCATCCTGTCCTGATGTCTGTCCGTCCTGCTGTCTGTCCTGTCCTGCTGTCTGTCTGTCCATCCTGCTGTCTGTCCGTCCTGTCCATCCTGCTGTCTGTCTGTCCATTCTGCTGTCTGTCCATCCTGTCCTGCTGTCTGTCCGTCCTGTCCATCCTGCTGTCTGTCCGTCCTGCTGTCTGTCTGTCCATCCTGCTGTCTGTCTGTCCGTCCTGCTGTCTGTCCATCCTGTCCTGCTGTCTGTCTGTCCTGTCCTGCTGTCTGTCTGTCCTGTCCTGCTGTCTGTCTGTCCGTCCTGCTGTCTGTCCATCCTGCTGTCTGTCCATCCTGTCCTGCTGTCTGTCTGTCCATCCTGCTGTCTGTCCATCCTGCTGTCTGTCCATCCTGTCCTGCTGTCTGTCCGTCCTGTCCGTCCTGTCCATCCTGCTGTCTGTCCGTCCTGTCCATCCTGCTGTCTGTCTGTCCTGCTGTCTGTCCGTCCCGTCCTGCTGTCCGTCCATCCTTCTCTCTGTCCGTCCTTCTGTCTGTCTGTCCTTCCTGTTGTCTGTCTGTCCTGCCTGTCCTGCCTGTCCTTCCTGCTTTCTTCCCTTCCTGTCCTGCCCGATGTTTCCTCTCCTGCTTTTTCCCATTTTTCCCGCCTGACGCTCCCTGTCCCGCCTCTCCTGCCTTTCCTGTCCC